CTTTTAACCTGAGATGAAGATGCTAATGGTGACTGTAGATTAGATGAGCCAGCGGATGGAAAGCACCAGGACGCAGTGGGCACCTGGTCAACCTGAGTCCACCTCCTTGCTTTGGTATCTCCCCGATACCTGGCCCAGCGCCGGACTAGGATGAAGACCGTCATGGATTGCTTTTAGACCCCAAGCCGTGACGGTCTCCCTATCTCCCCACTTCACCCCTCCAGTCAACTGCCAACCACACAGGCAGAGTAATCTTTAAATCTCAGCTGTGCCCCGCCAGTGAGCAGCTGTCAGGAACTCCCTGCTAGCGCTCTGGTCCTCCCGCCACATTTCCCTCTGAGGTCCACGCTCCCCGGGTGAGCTTGCCTCTGTTTCCCTTTCAAGCTTCCTCCTCACCATCTGCACCGCCTACAGCTGCAGGCCTTTGCACAGACCTCCCCCCCACCCCGCCCCTCCTGGTGCTGTCCTGATCTCAGTGCTCCTCGCCTGGCCTCTAAGGGCTCTCCTGAGGCAGAGGCTGCTATGGCGTCTCCGCCTCCCATGTGCCCGGCCCGGACCGTGAACGAGGTGTTCCGCCAGGATCAGGGACACAATTAGTCTTTGGGTTACATGGTGAAATATGAATGAGATTTTCTCCATTTCAGTTCTCAGAGGAGCCCTCGGGAAACAGTTCTTTAAAACACGAAAATGAGGCCGGGAAAATCAATTGCGCTCCTCGCTGCAGGAGATGAAGGCAAGCGTGACTTTCCCGAGCCTCCCAGGGCACCGCAGTATAGTGGGTGGGGGTGGAGGCACCTTTCATTCTAATGTGGATTTCAAGCGGGGCCCAGGCTGGGAGCCACCAAGCCTCAGCCGCCGCCTGTGGAATTCAGGAGCACACGGTGGCAACGCCCCCAGCGCCTCGCACAGCCTCTTTCTTATTTCTAAGCAACAATGAGCCAGCTGCAGCCTTGCCCAGGGTTCACAGCTAAACACCCACGGCCACCACGCCTCCTTCCATGGTGGAGGGGAAGGCCAGACACTGGGCAGGAGGTGGGTATTGACGGCGTCTCCCGGGCCCAGGCCCTGTGCCTGCTGCATCCAGCCTCTCCTTGGGCCTCCAGACCTGCCATGCGGGCAGCACTGTCATCCCTTCTCTGTACAGAGGAAAGTCAGAGCCCAGGACAGGGCGACCCGCCTGGGCCACGCAGGTTAGGAGCCATGTGTGCATCTTCTGCGCAATCGCGTGTTACCATCTCGGGAGTCTGTGGATGTTTAACGATCCAGGTCCTGTCTTTGGTCAGGCTTCCAGAAAACCCAGAGCCAACGTGCTGCCCCTGCTGCAGGTACGGGCACTGTGCTAGACCTGCCTCCAGGAAGGGCCGTCCTCCATCCTTCCCTTTATTCGCTGCTATTTTCCTCATCTGTGAAATGAGGACATAACAGCAGCTCCGACCTCTGAGGGTTGCTGTGCAGGCACATGGAGAGACGCTGGCACGCTCGAGGCAGCACTGGGCACACGACCATCTCCCCGGCGGGGTCAGGGCTGCTAAATCCTGGGGCCTGCACGGTGTCTGCAGTCATTTCTGGAACCAGAGAGGGTGGAGTCTAACAGGATGAAAGAAGCTGGTCAGGTGGCACTTACTGACTTCCTACTGATTGATTGATTGATTGATTGATCGGCCAAGCCCTGGGGTCCTCCGGCGGGGCCCTCAAGGAGCAAACAGCTGGGTCCAAACTCAGGTCTCGCCCAGGCAGGTGTCAAACCCACTTCCTCGGCCGCTTGCGTGGTTTCCCTCCGAGCCCGGAGCTCGAACCTCCCACACTCTCCGCTTTATTTTCCGAGGCCAGGAGGAGGCCCTGACCCGAACCTCACCCTCCACCCGGGGGTTTCCAAACCTGCAGAGAACAGCTTCCCCTGCAGGAAGGGATGCTGACCCTTTGCTCTGGGTCATGACGCCCTCGCATCCCGCCCACTGGGCCGCTGGGAGGGCAGGGCGGAGGTCACAGGTGAGTAAGCACAGAGCCCGACCCAGACCCGGACCCGGAGCGCAGCCACGGGACCGGCTGGGGGAAGGTCAGGTCACCAGGGCCAGCCCTGCCCTCGTGCTGAGCGCAGAGGCCTCCGCCTGTGGGCGGGCTGTGTGCAGCCCTGCAGGTCTGCTGGCTGAGGCGCTCGACTTTGTAGAGTCAGGCAGTTTATAAGGGACAGGCACTCCCATTATGAGGAGCGGGGGAGAGTGGGCGAGAGGCTGGGGCTGGTTCCTTCTCCAGTAAAACCAGGGAAAGTTAATTAAGGCTGTGACTCAACAGGCTTTTCTGATGCAATTAGAGGTCCAGCTGGGCAGCCTGCTGTTTCAGGGACAGGAAGTCAGCACCTGGCCCCACAGGCCACTGCCTGAGGCAGGCGTTTCAACAGTGACGCCAGCCCGATGCCCAGCCCAGCCCAGCGGGAGCCTCACGTCGGGTCCGTGGGAGTCGCCCGTGTGCCTGGCCCTGTGCCTGGGCCGTGGGCACTCCAATGGATCCCACGTCTGCAGGTAGGGAGACTGCGGCCCAGAGAGGGGGTGCCACTTGCTTAAGTCACACAGCCAGTCTGTTCCTAGAGCCTGCTCCTGCCACCTCCCACCGATTCCCTCCTACACCCTGCACCCCAGGCTCTGAGTAGCCTGAGTGAACTGCACTCTGCCGTCCCCCGAACCCTCATGCCTTTGTTTTCGTAATAAACTCACATATAATCAGGGGAGCAGTAAAGGAGCTTCGGACCCGTCTGCTCGAAGTCTGTCGCCTGCACGTGGGGACGGATCTGTAGCCACAGTCACTCCTGTGGAGACAGCAGGCCGGTGGCATCTCAGCTACCGACTCTCCCTCCGTCACAACAGCCCTGCTCCGATGGGTGGGGCCTTCTTGTCTCTGGACCACCTTTTACAAAATGCAGGCGACTGACGAGGTCGCAGTGGAAGCTCCAGAGCCTCCCCCGGCCCAGCAGCCCGGCAGGAGGAGGCCCGGGCATGTGGGGAGATGTAGGAAGAAGGGGAGCAGCCTGGCCTGGCTGTGACCGAGGAGTCTCCGGCGCGCACCGGGGGCCAGGCTGGTAGTAGATGCTCCGTAAATGTTAGGTCCTTGTTCTCTGCCCCCCACTCCCGCCTCGGCAGGAGAGGGCACGCGAGCTATTTCCTGGACACGCAGTCCTGGCCCTTTAACCCCCACCCACCCGCACGTAGCTGGTCGCAGGTGCTGCTGGTGCTTCTCCCTGACTCCCTCGGGCCCATCGTCCCCGCTTCTAGAACAGATGCGGGGGGGGGGGGGGGGCAGTCTGGTCTTAGCCTTTACTGCTACCTGATCCCGAAGTCAGCACTTCTGAAACCTTGTTTCCTGTAAAATAGGTTGTTGAAAGGTTTAAAAACGAAAGCATAGATTTGCATCCACTGCCCCCGGTTTAAGAGCTGAGGAGTTGAACTCACAGTTTAGGGCCTGTCTCTTCTTGAAAAGCTGAGTCAGCTATTATCTGGCCTCCTCCCGTCCTTGCCAACAGGTGTTGTGCCGGGGAGATGGGCGCGTTCCCTCCCCTCCCTCCAGCGCCCTCACGCCCCTTCCTCACACCGGGACGTCCTCGCTGGCTCCTGCCGCCTGTCCGCTCTGGGCCCGCACGCAGGGGTGACGAGGGAAGCGTGGCTCCTTCCCGCAGGTGGTCTGGGTCTGGGTGCCGTGTTCAGGTCTCATTTGTACTGGTCCTCGGTTTACTGCTGATAGAGCCACCACCTCCTGTGGCACGGCTGCTGCCCGTCCTGCAGGGGGCGCGCTGCCACGGCTCTGTCCTCTGCTGCAGGTTGACCCGTGGTGTGAGCTCTCAAATGAGAAACCCAGAGGAGTCCCAGGCCAGAGACTGAGCTCTTTCATCAGCCAGGCCCCGCCCCTCATCCCTTATTTTTAATGCTCGTGCGAAAGCAAATTAGACTGGGAACTGAGCTACAGCTCTGGCAGGTTCCAGTGTAAACCGAGCCTTTTTCTTTCAAGGGTTCCACCAATATTAATGCACTGCTGGCCCCGGCCAGTCTCACCTCCCACCTCCTTCCTGCCGGGCGCCCCCTGGGTTCCTGAGGCCACAGATGCTTCCTTTCCTTTCACAAGGCAGCTCACCTAGGAGACTCATTGGGACCCCCCCCCCCCCCCCCCCCCCCCCCCCCAAAAATAGGCTGGGGGCTTCCACGGGGAGCTGACCCAGCGGGGTGATGGTGCAAGCCCTCTGGGTGGGGTGGGAGCACACCGTTCCCCTGTGCTCTGGAGGCAGCCGCCCTGGGGTGAGTGCGCAGGGACAGCCTCCGGGCCAGCGGAGCCCAAACCCTGCTGCCCCGGTGCCGCATCTGAGTTCCCTCAGGCACGTGGCTTCTCTGGGCCTCAAGCTCTTCATTTATAAAATGAGAAGATGGTGAGACCTACTTGGTAGGGCTGGTTTTAAACATTAATAAGAGATCAAGTTAAACAGCCTCACTGTGGTTAGTAATTCTCAATGTCCATCTTAATCTTTCCCAATGAAGTCATCTTGGATATGGGAGCCTGGCCCATACGACGAGCCGCCTCCCTATCCGGGCGCTGAGCCCAGCGGAGGGTTCACAGAGCAGACGCCCACTCTCGGCTGGTCCTGCCATGCGAGGCTCGGCAGTCCCACCCAAGGCTGGTAACTCATTGGCTCACTGAGGCGCCCTGTGGTGTTGGTGGCACGTGTGGGCACACTGAGCCTCTCGCACCAGTTCTGGGAGAGGTGGGGGCCCTCCTCCGAGCCCAGACCCCAGACGCCAGAGGCCAACCTTGTAAGCAGACCTTCCCAGGGCTGGCAGCCTCAGGCCCCGCTGTCACCCCTTCTCTGTGAGAACTGTCAGGGGGCAACTGTGTGTGTCAGTGTGTGTGCGTCTGTATGCCTGTGTGTCTGTGTGCTGGTGTGTGTGTATGTTGGTATGTCAGTGTGTGTGTGTGTGTGCTGGTGTGTGTGTGTGTGTGTGTGTGTGTACAGGGCGGGAGGGGTGAGGAGGCAGAGACTGGGGAGAAACCCTTTCTCCTGCTGGGAAGATGCACACTGAGAGCAGGGCGACATGCTGCGTCCCCAGCGTGGCCGGCTGTGCGGGACCCTGCGCATGCTGTCGCCGTGTGGCTGGCGTGGTTTCGCCTGTGCAGGAGCTATGGGGTGGGGAGCAGCTTCGCTGGCCCGGAGCCCCACTGGCACGCGTAGCAGAGCCACACACTGGAGCTGGAAGACGACGATTTCTCATTTTCCAAACCAATTTTGCTGACCTGATTTTCTTTTCTTTATCAACTCTTGTGCCAAGAAAGGGGATTGAGGAATGGAAGTAGCTTAATGGAACGCGCTGTGTGCTGCAGGGCTGGTGTCTCCATGGTGACGGGATGCAGGCTCCGTGCAGACGTGGGCTGAGATGCACTGAGACAGCTGTGCCTCTGACGGGGCCGGGTGCACGGATGGCCTCCTGGACTCGCGTGGAAATGCTGGTTCCTGGGCGCTGTACCGACAGGGGGCCGGGATCTCGGGGTGCAGGGCCCAGGACTTTGTATCTGATCTACCTCCTTCCATGGCTCTGAGGCTCAGGGAGTCGCAGGCCCATGGTGTCAGGCCGTGAGTCAGCCCACGGGGGGTGTGGCACACTCTCAGCCTCATCACCAACTGTTCAGAGGAGTAATTTCAGGAGATCCCTCCGTGCAGCAGGGGCCATGGATGGGAGGGGAGATGGGAGGGGCCAGGGAGGACACGCCCACCTCAGGAGCTTCAGCCCCATCAGCACAAACCACCAGCAGACCCTTTAACTAGCAGGACCCACGGGCCCTCGGAGGCCCCAGGACCGAGGGCACAGCCTTGCCCTGGGGGTGTAGGTAGTTGTGGGGCACAGGCCACGGCTGATGGCAGCACGGTGTACTAGCAAACCCTGATGGTTCTTGTACCGAGGAAACCCCTGACCCAAACTCCGCTCCATGGTTGCAGGGGTAACAGCGATGGCAGCGGGAAGCATTCGCCGGTCACTCTCACATTCGCACGGGATCGCCACGGTGGTCCCTGGTGACCGTGTGTGTGGACTGGTGCGGTGGTGAGCCATTTTCCAGATGGGAGAACTGAGGCCTCCTCGGTTCCGCTGGTCCCGCAGGCATGCGAGCTGGTCCTGGGCCGCAAGGGGCAGAAAGCGAAGCTGCAGGAGAACACGGGTTCCTGGGGGACGCGTGTGCATAGGAACAGGCGGCAAGCGAGTGAGAACGTGCCTGAGATGGTGGCCGGTAGTGACGGCTGTTTTCCTCTGGGACTTCCACCTTTGTCTTTTTAATCACGGGGCAATGAATTTTTAATAAAAATATCGCTCATGTAGTTAGAGATACACTGGCAGTAGGACATGTGGCGGCAGTGGGACTTCGGACCCGAGTCCCTAGCCTCACTCTGCCCCATGCATGGAAAGCCGTCATTCCCTCAGCCTTTGAAAGCCCGTCTGGAAATGGACACAGTGATGGTGCCCACCGCCCAGGCCTCGAGGACACGGTGGGGTGACTAACGCACGTCTGCACTCCACGCGTGCTGACCGAGGGCGCGACCTCGGGCAGGCCAGCCCGGGGGCTCCGTGCACCGCCCCGTTTTACCTCACAGCGTGAGAAAGTCACCAGTGTCGCCCCGTCCAGAGAGAAGTAAACTGAGGCCTCCTGAGGGCAAGGAAGTCCACAGGGTCACAGCGAGGGCGGAGCTGGGCTTTGTGTCTGGACAGCCTGGCCCCAAAGGCACTGCTCCTGCTGCAGGCCCAGCGCTGGGAGATGGCGGGACCAGGTGTCCCTGGGGTGGGACTTCTGCAGCCGCTGGCAAGGTGCAGGGTGGCGGCGTCTGTCTCTGGGGGCCCAGCTGTCACTTACAAAAGACGGATGTCCGCGGGCAGCTGCTTCATCTCCCCAGGAAGCGCCCGCTCCTGATGCACTGGGTCTGCTGCTTCTGGGGCTCAAGGGTGTGCCCTCCTCACAACGAAGGGCAGTTGTGGGGCCTGTGGGGCCCAGATGCTGCGGAAGCTCCCGAGCCTCTTCAGTTGGGGTTTCTAGGAGGTTCCTTACAGAGCAAGACCCAGCAATCTCTCCTCCCTCGGTCAGGGCGGGGGTGGAGGGCCAAGCTTGGGAACGGAGACCAAACATATACCATCCTCCAGCTGCATGCCCACACGGACTCCACCCTCCAGCTGCATGCCCACACGGACTCCACCCTCCAGCTGCATGCTCACACAGACTCCACCCTCCAGCTGCATGCCCACACGGACTCCACCCTCCAGCTGCATGCCCACACGGACTCCACCCTCCAGCTGCATGCCCACACGGACTCCACCCTCCAGCTGCATGCCCACACGGACTCCACCCTCCAGCTGCATGCCCACACGGACTCCACCCTCCAGCTGCATGCCCACACGGACTCCACCCTCCAGCTGCATGCCCACACGGACTCCACCCTCCAGCTGCATGCCCACACGGACTCCACCCTCCAGCTGCATGCCCACACGGACTCCACCCTCCAGCTGCATGCCCACACGGACTCCACCCTCCAGCTGCATGCCCACACGGACTCCACCCTCCAGCTGCATGCCCACACGGACTCCACCCTCCAGCTGCATGCCCACACGGACTCCACCCTCCAGCTGCATGCCCACACGGACTCCACCCTCCAGCTGCATGCCCACACGGACTCCACCCTCCAGCTGCATGCCCACACGGACTCCACCCTCCAGCTGCATGCCCACACGGACTCCACCCTCCAGCTGCATGCCCACACGGACTCCACCCTCCAGCTGCATGCCCACACGGACTCCACCCTCCAGCTGCATGCCCACACGGACTCCACCCTCCAGCTGCATGCCCACACGGACTCCACCCTCCAGCTGCATGCCCACACGGACTCCACCCTCCAGCTGCATGCCCACACGGACTCCACCCTCCAGCTGCATGCTCACACGGACTCCACCCTCCAGCTGCATGCTCACACGGACTCCACCCTCCAGCTGCATGCTCACACGGACTCCACCCTCCAGCTGCATGCTCACACGGACTCCACCCTCCAGCTGCATGCTCACACGGACTCCACCCTCCAGCTGCATGCTCACACGGACTCCACCCTCCAGCTGCATGC